ATCAGAATTGATACAGAAAACAAAACGACATTTGGACTAATGTGGGTAGATGTGCTGGTCTGAATGAACGATTGTAAGTAGGTTGAAATTAGACTCCAAAGTGTCCTGTTTTCTATCATCTGATATAAACGCAAAAAATCGCATCGCAAGATTTACACTCTATGTCCCCCGAAGTCATCAATATCAGACCCATAATTAGCTGTATTGGAGGACCGACAAATCGTATTTCGTGGTTTTTAAATAAAATCTTAGCGAACTCTTGACAAAGGTACCCGCGCACTTACCTAACACTCAGCAATTCTTAGAGCTACTGCAACACAAAGTTTGAACCTAGTGTTTTAATGGTGTCCTTCGATGTGACTTCCTGTACACTAATGTTCATAACGATGATGCACTACAAGCTCTCTCGAAGATGTTAGATAAGCATAAAACAAATATCGTACCTTTGGATTGAGTAAAACGCAAGTACTGACCTCGGGCGAGCTTGCTTGAGTTGTAACACTTTAAGTGGTCTGAAAGGTAATTCTTTGAGATCGGAGGACTCGCAAGGGCCAACGCTTAACAACGGTCCTTGCTGTGTGCTTCATGAGTAAAATTAAGGGCCAGTACTTGCGCGAATGCCACTGATGTACTGTCATTACATCGATAACTCTGTGTGATAACGTCTACTCAATCCGAAATGGATGAATGTTCTATACGGGTGGCTTCCTTACCTTAACACTCAGATCAACCTTTTCGGTGGTGTTCTCCGTGTCAAATGGTATCGTAAACGAAGCTTCAAGAACATCTTGGTTTATGCTAAATCGGCTCACCCCACAGAGATGAAGAAGCGGTCATTTATAATATGATCAGAACTGCTTCGATGGTGTGCACGGGTCACGAAGAGCGTCTTGAGTCACGAAAGCTTGGATCACAAATCGCGCGCAGCAACGGATATGCATTGCAAGAACATAGCGTGTCACACAGCATTCCGAAAATCATATTCGTACTCAACGCGATAAGATCCCTCTGTGCATGCCGTTTATTACAGACGAACTTAGCAAAGCAATCAAACAATGCATTTATAGAGCCCAATTGCAGGATGATGCTTGTCAATATCCCGAATTGCAATATAACGAAGCAGTTGGTGAGAAACAGACTTTATGATAGCGTTTGCATAATGGAGCATTGTATTGTTTGTCCCTGTAGCAGAGTAGGAGATTGCGCAAAGGCAGGTGTGGTATATCAGCTAGAATGTTTGACTTTTCATGACCGTTTTATCGAAAGGGGTAGAAATTTAGGTGTAAGGTTAGAAAAACATTCAGCGAGCAAAAGACGAGAGATTCAAACAGCACCGTTGGGACGACATAAGATTGAGGCACATGGCGGAAATGATTATGAAGTGAAATGTACGATTTTGACCTATGAAACCGAAATATGAGCCAGGAAAATTTTCGAAGCTACATGAATTAGTGTCAAAAATCCCGAGTTGAATGTCAAGAATGAGTGCTTGTGTGTCAGTAGTGACTTAGCTTTATTCATATCATTATGTGGACTTAGCAACGCACATAAAAGGTCTTGACTCACTGAATGCACTCAGTGACGTCCGTTACCATCACATGTGCGGGCTTGTTGCTAGCTAGCGGAGTCGAGGTTTGCTCGTTTCCTAGCTTTGAGGTCTCATGCTGTGAGACTCAGAGTAGGTCTAGACTGATACAGTGGGAAGAGGCGCTTGAGGGTATGGTGAGCAAGTCAAAATGCATACAATCCGCTTTCAGACCTCTGATGATGACGCCGTGTCGAAACGTTAGGTCAATAAATTCTCCACCGCAGAATCTGATTGGCGAACACAATACTTACTAAACTGCAGTTCATATTTGTAAATGTGAAGGTCATGAAGACAAATCATGTATTCGTTGTGCACCACTTTTTGTAAAAAGCTTTGAGCTTTAGCGAAATCTTTAGCTGCAAACGATGGCAAACCAATGGCATCAGAAAGCCTAATATTACGTACAACTCACCCTGCATACTCTTTCCAAAAAAAGTACCATTCTTACTCTTTTTTGCATTCCCAACAGCATTCTTGATATGATGATTGTAAATGGCTTGCAAAGAATCATATAAGACAACGCTTTGCGGATTATCCATGGAAAGGCCGGTGAATACAGGCTATAAGTTTGAATTTATAGCAAGTTTTTAAGCCTTTACAAGGAAAATGGATGGTTTTTTGTGGAAGTTGCACGTTGCAGAGCCGAGTAACGCCACATTCCATCTAATGTTCACTTATGAAAAGTAAGTTTTGTTTGTGCTATTAAAGACGGTATCACGATGGAATGCTTTACGTAAAAGATTTGTTGCGATATGTTTGCAAGTATCCCGCTGATAAAGACATGACTCGACATTCAACAAAAAGTAGATCATGGGCATCTGAAAAGTAGACATTATAATCTTCTATCAACACCACGTATTCGGCAACCTTTAATGTGAGGTTTCAAGACTTTTACATGCTCTGCAATTCAAATTGTTTTTATCAAGGATCGAAAATATCAAACAAATCCATCAAGGTAAAATTCAACACATGGATAGATCCGCCATTTCCTACCTTTGGAATTGAAAACAATCTCTGTTGTTGTTACACTAGTTGTTACACCTCCATTCAAAAACACAATCTTGCTCGCGCTTCATCTTTAAAAACCCAAACTTTGAATAGAGACTGACTGCCTCGTTTACGGGTCCCACGGCTCCGAATTTGAAGTATAGACGGACAAGGGCTGAAGAGCATAGATCAGAGTGTTGTGGAAGAATTGTGTGTAAAGGTTGTAATAAGCTTTCCAAATTTTTCTCATTACTGAAAACTGGAAAAACTCGCTTGCAACGCACAGGTAACTGGCTGGCTGTTATATGGCTTCAAAGTTGGTGTTTACATGGTTAGTGATGAATAAGAACAAAACTTAAAGTTATGTAAAAAAAAGAAAAAGTGAATAAAGGGCGTGCCCTATTTTTCATGATAGGGTGGCAACTGCCATCTTGATGCCTCCACTTTTATGCCACCCTGAGTGTGCCACCTTCAAATGACATTATATTCTTGATTTTTGCATCTGTTGTGTACCCAAAGTTTATTATAAGCAACATTTTGGTTTATAAACCCCCCTCTCCTTTTTGTTAGGGAAAAAGAGACGCCGTTCTTTTCGAAGGCACTGTGGCAAGATGGATTTCTCAGATTTATGTATTGTTAGCTAGTAGGCCCCATAAGTACATCATACACAGTCCCATCTTCCGACTCGTGGGCTCTTAAGGTCGTGCAGCAAGTCTTAAGGTCGTGCTTCAATTTCTACCAGTTCTGCCACGGGCATCGATGGTGGAAGTGGAGCACAATTTCAGGACTTACTAGTAGATCACGAATTGGAGGATGGACTTGGTTTGCGATGTGCTTGTGGGCCTACTAGCTAGCACTATTGAAATCTGAAAAGGGTCTATTTGCCGAGCCAGTGCCTCTATAAGGCAGTTTGATAGAACGACCCAAGCAGCTGGAGCCATCAAGTTTGAAATCTTAAAAACTGAAGGACGGCGAAGGCGATTTCGTTTTACGAATGTTCAATTGCCACTCTCATGCTGGGCCCTTGCTACTCTTAACGATACCATACCTTAAATAAGTTAGAGTAAGCTGTTCTCGCAGAATAGATGTATCGTTGGGTACTCGCTGCTGAAGCATATAGGAAGGGTTTAGCATGTACCACAAGTTGACAGATGCGAAGTCTTCGCCCTCGGCTGCTCAGACAAATCACCGGAACTTCCGCAGGGCCTTATTTTGGAACTCCCACAGCACGTTTACGGAACTTCCGCAGGTGAACCGGCGCGAAACTTCCGCAAGCGCTCTGCGGAAGTTCCGGTCATTTGTCTGCGTGGGTACATGATACCCATCTTTGTGACGCTTGTAGGGGCAAGGGACCGCAGTCGAATATGTCGCCACGAATTTATGAAGGTCCCCTATTTTTCCCATGCAGCAACTCAACTCTTTTTTTCCAAGAATAAGGTATTCATCCATTCTCATGGCTCAATGGCCGCAGTCGCGTGGTGACTCACAAATTTCTTTTCACCTTTCCCAATCGTACATAAATTATTTTCTCATGTACCTACGTACGACTTATGGTAAATAAAGATCTCTTTCACGTAGACGTCTACCCTGTTTACAGGAATATCGAGAATTGAAAAAGATCAAGTATAGATTGTAATGAAATGTTCCAACAGTTCACCAGATCTCGGGACTACGACATCAAAAAACTTAAAATTCTTCAAACGAGAGATTTTTGTGGTTTTGATATCTAAGAAAAAGGGGTACGCGGTATTGCTCCAAATGCCTGGAATGTGAATTCGAATTTTGGATAAGATCTGAAATTTTGGATAAGATCTGATTATTTTTGAGAAATGAAAATGTGGAGCTTATGAGATGTAGTGCTTAAAACCGTAATTTAGACATTTATTTATTCATGTGAGTACAACGTGGGAAATTTCCTGTATTAGTTGGTTAGTCGTCGAGATTCTTCAGTATTACATCGAGACGCTGTAATTCTCCTCGAATGCGATCATTTTCATGATTATCTTGTATGTAACCTCTTTGCTGAAATTGGACAGGTCATAGGGGGCAGAAAAAGTCTTGATATGAGATACCCTTGACGTAGATAGAACCTCTACCACAGCAACCATAACACAAACCTCTTCGTCCACAACAGCAATTCGGATATCTGTAGCAATAAATCCATCAGGGTGTAAACTTACATATAAGGCCAGGCAAGGCTGGTACTGAGTCTCTTTTCTTATTGATAGAATTCCCTATAGTTTCGTATCCAGACTATAGATTCTTGAAGATTACTTCATGACAGATTTGTAAAAACTCAAAAGTTAGAGAAAAAGTCGTTTAATCTAGGAAAAATCTTGGTTTTGCAGTTCAGCAATCTAAAGCTTTTTTTAAAGGAGGGAGTAAATGCCCAGATCAAACCAATCTGTTTTGACACCGCATTTAGTTATCTAGTAAGTATGACATACTGTCTGCCTTTTCCTGTCAAACCATAAATTGAAGGTCTTGGAGCATCGAGTGGGTAGTTGTCCTCATACAGCCAGCGTTTGGTATGACACCCATTTCGGACAAAACTGTAAACATGCCGTTTTTAAACACCAACTCTTTAGTGTAAAAAGACAACTAACTTGCTGATAACTATACGTTGAGCAGGATAATCTGGATCAATCCCTTCTTCGATAGGAACCATATCGGGAACACGTTGAAAAGCTGTTTGCTAGAAAAGAGATTTTGTTTTACAAATAAAACCCTTTTTAGGAATGCGAATGTTACTTTTACCGTCGGTTCTTCCATAGGTGGTCTCATGAATCTCTCTCCTTCTCTTTGGCGCATGTCTTGTTCTCGTCTCACAGCTGCTTCTATATAAAGTATCCCAAGCTTTCAAAAACTGCTCGTTCCAGCACCGTTCCAACGTCGTGCTAGAGCAGTGCCTACCAGAAGCTCTCACCTGTTGCTACCTGATACGCTGGCGGCTTCGGGCGTCTTCTTTTTATCGAACTATCTAAAAGAATGTTGAATTTCACAAAAAATGCAGATTTATTCTCAAAGGATTAGTTTAGAAAGTCAGGGTCAATAAATCTGTTCAATATTAAAGAATTTGCTCTAGAGATGGTGACCTCCAAGAACTGGTGGTAATTTTTAGAACTAACCAATGCCGATAGCTGTCGACGGAGCATCGTCCTCTTTCTTCGGACGCTGGTCTGGAGATCGCATTGGTTCGAATCGTACCTGGACAAAACCTGTCAGTATGACTACGTCTATGATTATTCGTGTTCCGGCGACGCAAGCCCCAGTGTGTGCCAGCCCCGTGCTAGCGCCGTGCTAAGCACCCGTGACATGAGTATGGCTTAATCGACTTACGCAACAGTTGTGGTAAGCCATGTTGAAACAGCGTTGGCAATGCAACTCAGTTTGTCCACAATTGTCTATGTGCCCCCAGTCTCGCAAACGCAAATGTAGAGTAGCGAATTGCAAAATGAGATCGGACTGAAGTCATAACGCGACTTAGCGGTAGCCATATCTCTGGGGATGAGAACCAAAACATCTATGAACGAGTCCCTCTCAGCTGTTTCAATAGCGAACGACAGAAAGAAGAGCCGACTGAGAACAATTTTGACTGAAAGGCGCAAGTTGCATGGGGTAGAGAACGTTACGTCGCCGGGTTATCACGCGGATAACTGGTAGAAGCGGTACTCTGATAAGATGCATGGCCTGTGACAGATGTGCGTGGACGTGTGGACGGAGCACATTGGCAATATTAAGTTCTCTAAATGCTCAAACTATAAGTTGAGAGCAACTTACATCTCTTTCCATGACCGGTTGCGCAGCTTTCAGAATAGCCCCCTAAATGCAAGAAAATGGTTTCATTAAGATTTTGAAATATGTTGTCCTCCGCTAGAAATTACTCTACTAATTCAAGATGCGCCCTTTATAGTACAGTTGAACTCATAAATTACTCATTCTCGTAAAATCGAGGCACTGGAACTCACCGCGCTATACCGACTACCACGAATAGAATGTAAACAACTACTCACTTAAAAAGTTTTCTCACGTGAGATTGGTGATTTCGCGTAGATGAAACTTTTCGCAGGGAGACAAACGTAAATTTGAGTAGGTTTTTGAAGTTGTCATGGGTTGGTAGTCGCCATAAAGGCAATAGTAATCGTGGCTACATCTTTGTGCGAAAATCTTCTCAAATGCTTGGCTAGAACCTTGGCAAATTGACATTTACGCAACCAATTCTTTTTGGCGCCGTTTTCGTTATGTAGTGAACTTTTGACCACTTTTCGGGCTAAAGCCCATCACTTGCACTTTTGCTTATCAACCACATCCTCGACTTTGCAAAAAGTAGTGATAAGGACTCACTTTTGCGGCACAGAAGCCAGGTGGACCCGTTTGGTGCGCAATTTCTGAGGGATCCACTCAACGAATCTACTCGTGCTTTTGCATGTTGGACTTTTATGAAGGTAGCATGCGCTGTGCAAAATTTGGGCTTAGAACGCTGGCTAGAACACGCTCTACGAATTTCGTAACAGACGGACACACAGACACACACAAAAACACGTAAACAACCCTTAGCCCGTTATTATAAGGTCTTGATAGTTATCCATAAAGAATCAAGACTAAAATGATATCTGTTTGAGAACAGATTATGTGGCCTACGAAGAAAAAGAGCTAACGGCAGCTACACTTATGATGTGCTAAAAAGCAAATAGGAACAACTCAGAAATTGCAGTAGGAGTTTCAATTTAGAGAGGATGGAGCTAAAAAACAATCCGTAACTTATACCGAGATCAAAAAATGCGTCTCTAAAGCTACGCGAATGGTAATGCTAGACGCATACAATGAAAAATCCAAGAATGGAATACAGGTGCGGCAGGTCTCAAAGCCTTCAAGCCTAGTTCAATTTTGGCCAGACTGCAGAGGGGGAGCGTAAAGAAGCCGTCATTGACGTAAACCGTATTTTCAGACTTTAGTCTTAAACCGTCAAGAATAAGTGGCACAGTCTACAGTTTCAACCCGCTGTAGGCCGAAATTCTATGATGAGCTCTTGCGCCGCAAGTAGCTTTCATCGAGACCATAGTTGCCTTACTGTTCCACGCACGTTGCCTCGTTTCCGTTGCTAATTTTTCAATCTTTTTTCAAGAGGCGCACAGCTCCAGATTAGATGCCTTGGCCACACCAAGTTGAGACTGACTATGCCCCTATAGCAAATGTGTGCAGAACCTACCTTTTCGAATAAATCGATCAAAATGGATCATTGCTCTTAACACTTCACATTTTTGACTCAAGATCATGGCTATATGCACTTAGCTAAACTCGGTTTTAACATCTTCACACTCATTTGTTTCCTCGTTAGCTTTCTCAAAAAAAGATAAGTTTATTACGGACAGGCCACAACGGCCAGTGAAAACATTCTCTACAAATTTATGACCTTTTCATAGTGTTTGGCTATACAGAAACAGAAGTAGCATTGTCTGTGCTTAATCATAGCATTGACAAAATTCGGATGTTAACTATCACAAAACTTCAATCACCATAATAAAGGTTCGCCCTTCGTTGACGCATACGTATATACCTGCGACACCTCTGCTTCGCAGAGGCTCGCACTGGTATCCACTATCTGAATCTGTGCCTTACTCATTCCCCCAATAATGAACATTGAAACTCACCGTGCTATGTAGCCTTTCACGAATGATTCGTAAACATTTACTCACTTCTATAGCTTTTTCATGTGAGATCGGTAATGTCTCATGGATGAAACTTTTCCCAGAAGAATAAATGCAAATTTGAACTGGTTTTCGGACCTTTTATGATCTGATAGTTGCCTTAATGGTAATAATCACTGTGGGCCACATCTCTGTGCAAGAATCTTCACAAATGATCAAGTAAAATCTTGGCAAATTGAACATTTACACACCCAGTACTTTCTGGCGCCATTTTTGTAAAGCAATAAAATTTTGTTCACTTTCTTGAGCTGAGGTCCTTTGCTTGCACATTAACTTGTCGCATATCCATGACATTGCAAGCAATGGTGCTACAGGCCCAATTTTGCTGATCAGAAGTCAAGTGGACCCATTTGACGCGCAATTTTTAACGGATCCACTCGACGGATTTGCTCGCGCTTTAGTATATTGGACTTTCATGCTGCTAGCATGCGCCTTGCGAAATTTGGGCTCAGGAGGTTGGCTGGAACATGTTCTACGAATTTCGTAACGGACAGACACACAGACACACAAAAAGACGTAAACAACCCTTAGCCCGTTATTATAAGTCATGATATATTGGTAAGCTCCATTTTGAAGTGAGCTTTATGTAAAACATATGAGATGAAGTTGCTCAGAATATCGTTCCTCCACAAACTCCCTGTCTCTTTTTTTCTTTCAAAAGCTCTTATCTCTCTTCTCGGTAGAAACAAACACAATATGAATTAATTTTTTATTTCTTTTTTCTTTGACAATATCAGCTCGAATTCACATCAAGTCTTGAGGGACAAACTGCTTTGTGTTTTTCCAGCACTTAAGCGCGAGCAAAAGACAGATTACAGTAGACACATCTAAATATACATTGCCTTAAAAACACTTTTTAATGATGGGACGAGAAATTTACCTATGTTTCCTTTGCGGAAAATGTGTTTGTTCATGTGCTCTGAGATTGCTACGATCAGCAAAATTTCGGCCACAGAACGAACAAGCGTACGGTTTCTCACCTGAATGACTTTATAGCGAGCAATAAATCACTGAAAATATCTCTAACATGATTATCGAAGTTAACTTCAAAAACTATTGAGCAAAATACAAGAAAAATCTGCTAATAAACACCTGTATGTGTTCGCTGATGACCTTTCAATAACCACGGTCTACTGAAGCTTTTTCCACATTTCTCACAAAGGCATGGTAAAGAATGTGTTTTGAGATGCATCTTCAATGCACCGGGTAATCTGAAAAAATATAACAAAAGTGAAAAATTCTCTCACTGACTCATTGAAAGTGTTTCGGACGAAAATCCAGGATTTACTTCCTCGCAAATGCTTCAGTTAGAATGAAAACGAGTAAGTCACTCAAGTATAGCAAAGACAACCTTTGATTCAATTGGCTTGGCTCCTGGAAGGCTGGGCTTTGTGAGCTAATTAAGGCCGCTTTGTGTCTGCATTTCTCCCGCGCGCGTGCTCTCTGATAATTACATAGCCTTGGTTAGGTCATGAAGCCCCGCCTTCCACGGGCCAAGCCAGTTGAATCAAAGAATATATGGTTTCCAGCATGTGTCGAGCCTATGGATTTGCGATAAGGCTGACTAAAATATAGTGCATGAAAAAGGTCAATGTGATAGGTCCCAATCTTCCAGAGTTCTATAGGTCTTACTGGGATAGCAATCAATTCAAAAGTAGTGTTGATCATTGGAAAATTGACTACAAAACCAATTGTTGTCCCGCACATCAAATGTACGGTGATTTTAGGTAATTTTTTGTGAAAAATGATGATGAGAGAAAAAACTATTTACAACGACTACTGTGGTAAGCTTACCAAGATTGCAAAACGTGGTAAAAATGGTTTACAACGTTAAGAGGGAAAAGAGCGGCTAGAAAGTGCACATGAGTAGAGTACAGCATTTTTTTCCTGATCTGTCCACTAAAGACCTAATCGAGGCTTCCGCTCACTAGAACAGGGCTCGTCACGAGCTGGCACCGAAGTCCTCTTTGATCCTGAAAATTCCGTTCGAGGTCTTTAAACCCTAAACGTCAAAAAACACTCAAAAAACGAAAAGTCGATTAAAAAGTTTCTTTGGTCGACTTTTCGCGTCTTTTCGGCCACAAAAGCGATATTCAGCTTGACCCTTTGCCAGCTGTGCCGAGCCCTGCACTAAAATATAATTTTACTTTTATTAAGAAAAATTACAATTTGATTCTTTGTTTGAAGTTTGGAGTAGTGATTTATCATTAGAAGAGATGTTTTACAACCTCTGAGAAGAAGTCAAAATCTCGCGCAATGCAAAAAAATAGTTTCACCTGCAGAATCGATACAGTTGATTTCCACAGAAATATTCTGTCGAAATTTGCCATTTCCCCCAACAGGAACTCAAAATCTTCATAAATCACTACAATCAAGTTCGGCTACACTCACGGGACCTGTTTCAGAGCTTTCCGGTTTTCTTTGCGTTTGTAACACCCAGACGAACAAGTGCGCGCAGGTGTGCTCACCTGCATCAAAATATTGCCACCCGGAAAAGACGAATCGAGGCGCTCCTATCGGAAGAACTTCAGCTTTTTTCCGTAGCTGACTACACCTACAGTATCTGATGTCCGTCTTTGAGCTTTGCGAGAAATATGTTCTTTAAGTCATGAGTTATGCAATAGGGATTAAAAATGATGAAAGAAGACTAAG